TGTTTCTTAAAGTAACAGACGACATATAATAGCTTTTTTGAAGTTTTAGATTTTGTATTGAATACTGAATTTGTTTTCCAGTGTTATAAACAGGTATTTCTTTCTCTAATGAAAACTGTCAATAACGATGATGGTAATAACAGAAAACAGTGGAATTCATTATTAGAGACTACTGTCAAATCTTATTTGTGAAACGGAATACATGCATTATTCATCATATATATAGATTTTCTTCATTATTTGATATTCTATTTTTCTCTGATGCATATAAATTCTTTAGAAATTCATTTAATATAATGCCCACATCCAAGAACAATTTATAGAATATGAATTTCTGGATTTAATACTACTAGCCCCATTAAGGAGCAGTGCGATAAAAATTTCTTACTTTTTCATTAAACAAAAAGAAAATGGCTTGAATTAAGATTTTATAGTTACATTAATGTTCGATGAAACACATAAAACCATGCACAAATTATAAGGGAGGAAATGTTGTTGGTATGGCATATAACTCTGATACTGTAGCAAATACAGCATATGTATTTATAATAAGAAATTGCACATATACTGCCTTTTAACTGTCGTGCCCGAGTTCGAAAATGTCATGCACGAATATTACTCGGGGTAAATTTTTTTTTTTTTTTTTTTTTTTTTTTTTTTAGTGCATCGTATTGTTATACCCGAATATATATCGGGAGACATTTATTTCGGCTTCATCTCTTTGCTAAACCCGACTGTATCTCGGGAAAAGTTAATGTGCGCTCAATTCACTAGATGGCAGCATTTTACTGAAGATTTCAAAGGTTAGAGGTTAGAAGTTCTTTGGTTCAAAGTGCACAGGATCTTTTTCTTGTAAAATGGCGTCCAGTTCTTTGAAACATTATATGAATGATTTAGATTTTTCAACCGAAGATGAAGATTTTTAAGGCATCGATACTAGTGACGCAGGTGAAACTGAGGAGAGTGACATTGAAAGTAGCAGTGAATCAACGGATAGCGGTGATGATGATATAGGAAATGCGAGAGACTGGTGTGAAATAACTGCTTCTGGCCGATCAGGGCCCCCGCGGTTCCCTTTTACAGGTACTCCAGGTGTAACTTTTCCTGTAAACATAAACTACACTCCTTTAGATATTTTAGAAATGTTTCTGGATTCAAATCTAATGGATATAATTGTCAAAGAAACGAACAACTATGCAGAACAAGAAAGAAAAGCAAATCGAGCAAAGATATCAAGGTGCTCCCGCAGTAAAAAATGGATCCTTACAAATGACAGAGAAATGAAGCTATTCTTTGAGCTAATAATTCTTCAAGGTATTGTCCGAAAACCAAATCAGGCTATGTACTGGTCTTATCAAAGGATTTTGCATACTCCAGTTTACTCAAAAGTAATGCCTGTAAATTGTTTTATTTTGCTTTTTCAATATTTACATTTTTACAATAATGAAGCTGAAAAAAAAGATGATTTTCCAAATCCAAAACTTTGGAAGCTGTATAATGTAATAGAAAATTTACGGGAAAAATTTTGTAATTTTTACATACCGGAAAGTGATGTATCGGTTGATGAAAGCTTGATGCCTTATAAAGGAAGGTTATCTTGGAAACAATTTATTCCTATTAAACGTGCACGATTTGGAATCAAATTTCTTATGCTTTGTGAGGCAGAAACAGGGTATATTTGTGACTTCATTATCTATACAGGAAATAGTACTGTCTTCAATCAATTGTATACAAATTATGGACTTTTTACAAAAGTTGTCATGCACCTATTACATCGCTTTCTTGGAAATATTATTGTGTGACTATAGATAACTATTACATGTCACCCGAGCTTGCAGATTTACTTATAGCCCAAAAAAAAAAAACAGATATTTATCGCACAGTAAGAATAAACAGACAAGATTTACCTACAGAATTCGCTAAAAGAAAATTACAAAAAGGTCAAATCATAGCTTTTCGAAGAGGTAAGATAGATTTTGGCTATAAGGTGGAAAGGTAAGAAGGATATGTGTTTGATGAGCAGTATTCATGATACTTCCATGGTCAGCCTCAAAAATAAAAAAATGAAGATATACTCAAGCCGAAGATTCTTTCTGACTACAATCTAACTATGGGTGGTGAAGATCGCTATGATCAGGAAATATCCTTTCATCCAACAATCTGAAAACGCCATAAAAAATATTATAAAAAGATATTTTTACAAGGTACTCTGAAACTCATATTTGCTCTATAAAAATGTAGTTGGGAAACGTATTACATTTTTAGAATTTCGAATCCAAGTTGTAGAAGAGCTTTTACATAAATATGATGATGCAGCTTCTGAACAAAAGAATGTTGGCAGACCACCTACAATAAATAACCCTGCACGTCTTACTGAACATTTTATATCCCATATTCCTCCTACTCCTGCAAAACGTAAGTCTAAAGCGTGTTGTTTGAAAAAGGATACAAATGGGAAAAAGATAAGGAAGGAAACACGATTCTGGTGTAGAGATTGTGGAGTTGTTTTGTGCTTGGAAAAGTGTTTTCAGTTGTACCACACAAGACTGAATTGCTGAACTACTAATAGGTATTTACTTTTATTTATTTTTTTCATTTATTTATTTATTAGAAAATAATTTTTTGTTTTCCATTTTTAGAAAATAATGCTCCACTAGAAGCGAACTTTACAACTACCATGTTCAGTGGCAGCTGCCTAAGCAAATATGCAGTGGCTACAAAACTTTAAAAATTTTACCCATGTACTTCAAAATATCAATTTTTAACTACTAAGTATATTTTATTTTGTAAACATTTGATTTTTGCAATTAAAAAATTTGACAATCCGTGTACCCAAATCATCAAAATAACTTGACAGTTAAAGGGTTAAAAGAATCCAAGCTGAGAAACTTTTTTTCAGTTTTAAAGAAAACAATAATTTGTTTACATTGGTTAGGGTTTAAAGTTGTGTAAACAGTGATGATAATGCTTTAAGCAGAAAGGCAGTATCTTTTTTCCTTCCCCACCAAAATTAAGTATTGTTTACCAACACCATGCAATAAAGGTGATACTTTTGTTTTTTGTTGATTCTGTTCATATATTTAAAGTATAAGAAATTACCGGTTGAATAAAAAAAAAATGGGAACAAGCATTTTATTAGCCTGATTTTCAGGAACTACCATAATCCACTGTCTCATTTAAAAAACTAAAACAGCTTTGAAATCCCTTAAAGAAATACGCATATGGATTATCTTTCGAATCACTCAACCCATCAAACTTGGAGAGACACAAAATGTCAAAATTGTTGATAACAGTATTTTTAACAATTATGCTATTACTGCTTTCTACTACTTGGAAGGAGAACCATGTTTCAAACTATGCCAGTACTGCAGGTTTCATAAAACTGGCAGAATACTTTCAATGTTAAAACACCTTTGAGAGGTCAGAGGTTAATGACCCACTGCAAATATGCCAATAATAATTCTAATAATCCTTTGAATGAATAGTTTTTAGAACAATTTCTCTTACAGTAAATGTTTGGAAAGCTAATGGTTCCACAACAGAGGAACCTTTACTAAAGAAATAAATGCATTTAACTGTTTCTTACATTACACACGGATTATTAGAATTATCTAAATATTGTTTTCATGAGTTAGGGTTTAAATATTTTCTTACAGGAAAGATACAAACTGATTCATTAAAAGAACGGTTTAGTAAATATTGGGATGCTTGCTAGACAATTTTTTTAAAGTAAACCAAAATTAGGAATGTAGAATTTTCAGCCCAAAGAAATTATGAAAAAATGATGCATTTTAGAACAGATTAAATTTCTCTTTACATGACAGAAGGTTAGTCGGCCCACTTTCAAATTTTGCTTACATTTGTTGTCCCGGAAGAAAAGAAAGAAAATTCAAGATAAATTAATATTTAACGTTTAGTTTGAGTGATGCATTGCATAAAATGACTATAAATATATTTCTACAATTTAAACAATAATAAAATACAACAACTTACAATAAAAAAAAAAAAATCAACCGAAAATTTTTAGATAAAAATTTAGCAAAATAATTTGTCTTCCACTTCATGTCAAGTCCGTTACCTTGAGATTATTTTACCCCAATTAGTTTGTAAATCTGCCTAAAGGGAGGCAGTACATATTTAAAGTAGTCAAGTGTAGCTTGACTAGATTATCTATGTCACTGAATCTCTACTGTCCCTTTTAGATAGATTTACAAACTAATTTCGGGTAAAATAATCTCCAGGTAACGGACTTGACATGAAATGGAAGAGAAATTATTTTTCTATTGATTTTTTAAAGAAAACTTCTGTAATTAATTTTTATCATGAATATAACACACTAATAGTTCATATTAAAAATAATTACACTTCTTTATTTAAAAAATAAATTAGGTTACAAAACAAAGAGTTTGAATAACATGAAACTTGAAAGGGACACACATTTTTGCCTACAATCACACATTTTAAGATTTAAAAAGATTGTAGAAATATATTTATAGCTATATTTATGCAATGCATTGATCAAATTAAACATAATTCATCTTGAATTTTCTTTTCCTTTTAGGACAGCATATGTAAGCAAAATTTGAAAATGGGCCAGTAAGATTCTTAGTTACGAACATTTTTATTTGTATTTATATATATTATATATTTCATTTATATTGTAATTAAAACTGGAAGAAATTAATCAAAAGTCAAATTAAAGAAATTCACTTATATCTTAGACATGAAGCTAAAATCAATACTTTTGATCAGCATAGCACATATTTTTAAGAAATTGGAAATGCAATTAATGAAAAACTTAGAAAATAATTTAATGATCTTATTCATACATCAAGTATTTTTAAAGAAAGAAAACATTAAAGCATAGTTTAAACTTTTAAAATTTTCTTCATATGAGCAAACTATTTCAATTTACAACATATATAAAATGTTGCTATATTTAAAAAGTAAATTCTAATTTCTAGAATAAGAGAGAATTTTGTTTAGAAAATAATGATGAGGCAGTTATTAATAATTACTTTCTCTTACATGTGTAAACAATTTCATTAACAAAAATAAAACAGCAGCAAAAAATAATATAAACATTTAAGATTTAGTAAAAGAGTAATTTTTCAGATATAAACATCATTCAAGGAAAATATTACATTTTAGAACTTTTTACATATGAATTTACATATACCAGAGGATTACAAATAAACTTCTCACATCAAAGAAAATATGACGTATAAAAACACTGCATCCAAGATGTATATTATCAATGGAAATGTTCATGGAAATATTACTAAAACTGAACTTTGGTGCTAGCCCCTTACTAATAATTTTTAGCACTGTCATTTTTCTTTTCTATAAATTGTTCTTTGATTTTTTTCATTCTTTTTTTCTGTGGTCTTTCAGAAAATTTTAAATCAGCAATATTAAACAATATTTCTAAAAATAAACTGAGTTTTCAAAATATGAGAAGAATAGCAATATTTTTCAAAGTAAATTTTACTGCATCATTGCATTTTGCATATTTAGAAAAATAGAATATTGGCAAATGGCTATTATCAAACATTTTCTTTTCAGTTGAAACTTTGGTTGACCTCTATAAATGAGCTGCAAAATCTTTACAGATTTTAATTCAAATTCTAAAAAATATGATTTAACACATGGAACAAAAAAGTGCAAAATATTTTCACATTACATAAAAAAGTGCATAACACAATAACAACACTTTTATACCATACAATAACACATACATATAAGCTCTAAAGACAACATAATAGAACACTTCATTCAAGCTGAATGAAAGTATTTAAAATCATGCTAAAAATCTTAGCTCAAATAAGGCTTGTGTTTTGCTCACTTCTGAAGATCAAAATAATTATCTTCCATCCATAATCCACTGTCCGTGTAACTGAAGCATGTACAAAAGCAAAATGTATTTTTAAATACTGAAAAACATATACTTAACATAAATGCAAAATAACATCATATTAAATTAGTCATGGGTTTACATTCCATCTTGTGCTTTTGGTGCCAGTATGTTCTCTGGGGGAAAAATACAATAAATGCATATTATTTACAATAAAAATACAATACAAATATTAAAAACACAATGTGCATACTTTTACAAAAAATATAAAACAGTACTGCACACTTGGCAACTTAAAATTTGTCTGAGACTACCTTTGGTATTTTTCATTTTCAACACAGCTTTACATAGCAAATAACTTAGTTGTGTTTAAAATAGACTCTAAAAGTATCACTTTATAACATACTGTATTTACAGTTTCATTCTTTTTTACCAATTTTACCGTCCGAAAGCTGAGGGGGAAAATTATGCAAATAATTTAATTTCCCGAAGAAGACTGTTACAGTAAGAACATAAATTAAAAGTATTCATGGATAAACTGCCACTACTAATTAACATTATAATACCTAAAAAAGTATCTTCATTTCTACTTCCTGTATCCTGGCTCTAGTTCACTCTTATTGTTATCCTTTGCTACTTCAAGGAGCCAAATTATTTAATGGTGCTGGAACTATTGTGTGTATCATGTATACAGCTTGTAAATCATCACCACCATCACTGTTCAGTCTGCCTTACAACATATAATGATCTTCAGAACAATCAAGTGCATTAGATACCTTCCTTTCCATGAAGATCTTTACTATTACTGCTTCATCAATTAGAGACCAACCAAAATACATGAGAAAAACAATTAATAGAATGAAAGCAAGCACTACACGTATGAATTATTTTTTTTAATCTTGGGAGCTTGCTTTCTGAACACCTTGAAGAAGTTGAAAATTACGTTAATATTTAAAAAAAAAAAAAAAAAAAAAATTAAAAAAAATTAGACCTTCACTAAAGGGAAAAATTACATGAGGGAGAAAAATATGCAAGTACATACAGTATTTGCAAAAAACAATTAAATGATCAAAATGAATTTAAACCTAATTTTTATTATCATTCCATTTAGTGAAAAACTAAAAGCACAAAACTGATCATGATTCTGCAAAAATCTTATAGTTATAAGTACTAAGTAGGCAAGTATCCAATATCCAGAAAATTCTCAAATCTAGATTCGCATAAATCTCGGATTTTGTACTGTATACATTTCACCTTTCATAGTTGCAGTGGTAAAAATGTGTAATTCAGTGCACTTATTTAAAACGATGTCCATTTATACCATGATTCTACCACCTTTGTACTGATGACTTACACAAATGCTTTCAAACTCATCGGATATAATACATCTGGAATCACTAAGCTAAGCACAGGACTAAGCTCTTGTCTGCTACTCATATGACAATAATCTTTGCACCACAGAAATCAGGCACATTTCTCAGCCCAAAATTATTGGAGCACTAGTCTTGGATTCCCTTACATACAGCTTTCCTTTATGCAGATGTTACTCATGGTATATCTGGATAATCAAATTTCAGCAACTGCAGTGAATTTCCTTGAAATCTGATCTCAGTTGTCTTACTTCTTTTAGCAAACCATTGCCAAATAATTAAAGATTGAGATTTGCTGTATATTTTCAACTTTGACTGACTGTCCGTATGCATCACTAGTGTTTTTAAACAGTTTCCAGATTCTTCACAAGATGCTCTTGGCTATTTTTAGTTTTTTATAGACCTGTGTCAATGTCTATCCTGCTTCCACAGTCCCAACTGCATTATTTCCCTATGTTTGTCAAGTGCCTTCTCAACAACATGCTCTACCTTTTCACATAAGATTTAACATAACTACTCATAATTTTGAAGCAGTTTCCTGCACTCTTTTTCATATGTGCAGAAAGAACAGGCATGAATTTTGCATACTTCTCTGTAATAAAGGTGGACATCATTGCACTAGGTGATAACATCATTGCACTAGGTGATAACGTTTCCCTTGTGCAAACAACTTTCATCGGTCTTAATAAAATTAACATAAAACATCCTTTTAAAGCTGTTTTTATTTTCTCTGCCAGTTCATTTCTGCATTTTTACTAACGATGGTTCCACTTAAAGCACTATTTTCAGCAACTTAATTCCCTTTTAAACAGTTTTTTTTTAACTGAAATTCATAATAAACTGGATTTTAAAACAATATTTCACCATGTAAACGTAATACATGACTTAAGCAGTTATACAGATCTATAGTGTCTTAAACACAAATATTCGATAAGACATGTTAAAAGAATAATTTTTAAGTTAAAAATGAGAAATCATGGCTAAAAAGAAAATCTTAACTGGAATGTAAAACGTCTTTGGTTCAAATTCAAAAATTAAATGTTACAGCAAACAGTATGTATTTGTAAGATACAACATATAAAAGCAAATTACGAATTTTAATTTTGCTATAACCCTTTAATTCCTCATTTTAATTTGAGAATTTCCAGTCTATATTCTAAAAATAGTAATAGCATTTTTTTTTGACTGTGCCATTTCTAGATAAATCCTATCATATGATATTTACATAGCAATGATGACATAGCTGATTCGAAACCTAAACTGAAACTTTTTCTCTTCAAAAGCCGCCATAATGGATAACTATGCATTTGCTTTCTGCACCCCAGCCACAAAGCTATAAAAAATCTATACATTATGAAACAGGTATGAATTAGAGTGCCAATTTGCTTGTGGCAAGAAATGTGAATTGAAATCATAAATGAATATTTATTCTGCCTTGCCTGCCAAATTTGCTCTTTATATGGATCAATATCTACACTATCAGTGTTTCTACAACATTATTACATCTAGTGTGACAGGTGAGGTAAGTGCAGGCATGGCAACAGAAAAATTAATCTCGAATTTTTAAATGTGATAATGATTTGCTATGAATACTAATTTTATGTTATTCTGCATCCATTCGAAACATCACTCTTGTTCTATTCAATATCCAAAAGTGAAAAATAGTCTTATCATCATGTCAAAAATTAATCCAGAATAGTGTTTAAAGTGAAGAAGGACTGCTTTCAAGGAACGTTTCAAATCTTTACAACTACGCTCTGCAGCAATTCAAAGGTTATTTATTCTTCGACTAAAGAATGTGCTTCAACTGTGTGCCATAAATTTATTTTCACTTTCTCTCTTCATCATTAATGTTATATTTGTCAACTTAAAAGCTCAAAATTATTCATCTCCAACAGATGTTACAGGGTTCATAGCCACATTTTAGTTAAAAAAATAAGCACTTTTCAAGCACATTTTAAGGAAAAAATAAGCACCTGTCTAATTACATTATATACAACTGCATAACCTTAAAAGAAAAATTAGACTTGCAATTTAAAATATGAGCAATGCAATATTTATTAAGAGAATGAGCACCTCAACCATGGAAAACAATTAACTTTTTTTAAAATTTTAAATGACAGTTCAATTTACAGAATTAGTTTACAATGAGAGAAAAAAAAACTATGCAGAACTAAACTATATTACAAAATTTACTGATGATATTTCAGCTGAAAATATAGAAAATAAATAATAATAAGCCATATTAATTGTATTCGTTTGGCACCTAATAATAATCAATTTATTATTTTTCCACTCATATTAATATTTAAATAATTCACTCAAATCAAAATTCTGAACCATTTTCTAAATTTTTCATTCCATGACAGTTTTTCCCTTAACATATATCCAAACAAAGTAATTTAAGAAGTAAAAAGTGGGCACATTTCTGAAATCAGAAGACGGGAAATTGCTTAATGCAGTCATCCTTTAACAGTAAAAGCTTAACTAACCCACATACTCGGAAATTTCCGGATAGTGATTGGAAAAAGAGGAGTGGGGGAGATTGTAGCCGTTCTTTAGATTTAAATTTAGGCTAAATAAATGATTTTGACATTTTGATATGTGCATCATATAAAAACAAACGGAACTAAGAAATATTCTGCTTAGAAAGCACAGTAAAACTCTTTTAACCCCTTCGTGCCGACTGTCACGTATACGTGCCAGCAACGAACGCACTTACCTATCGGCTGACACGCAGGCGTGCCAGAGGATTGTTCCGTTCTCTACCAACTGTCACGTATTTGTGCCAGTACTTTGGAACGTTTTTCAAACTATAATTTCCGCCACAAGATGGCACTGTATGTCCATATGGTTTCAGATACATGTAAATTAGACCTTCTACCTTCTACTCGAAATGAGAGAAGCATGACTCACATACACGTGTTTTTGATTATAAAACAAACGGGGAAATAAATGTTTCTGAATGGGCGTGATTTTATGATGTCTCTTTAAATCGCACTTTATTCGCACGTGGTAGTTGTTTACTGTAAGTAGAGAAGTTTTATTTGCTCTAAAGCGTTGGGTATTTCAGTTTGCAGTTCAGTTTTTAGAAAATAATTAGATCTTTTAGACGTGATTCTTTGTTTTTAGCGTTGCAATGTCGAAGCGTCGAAAATGTTTAACAAAGCATGAAATAGCAGAAATGATGCAAAATATTTCAGAGATTGATTCTGAAATTCTGATATTCTGATATTGATTCTGAAAGATTAACTGAAAGACATTTTCCAAAACTCTGTTCAGAAGAGACTGATAAGAAAATGAGACGACGATGCTTCGTTTGTTCACATTCCCGGAAAAATCCTCCAAAACGGCGAATGAGTTATTACGAGTGCAAGAAATGTAACTTAGGACTGTGTGTAGATCCCTGTTTTCAAATTTTTCATACGAAAAGAGAATTTTAAGGAATATATTTAGTTTTCAGATGTATAACGTTAAAATTCATAAAATGGTGAATAATTAAATAAAATTAATTAAAATAAAATGTAAGTAAATGAGTAATTAAAATAAAATGTGTAAAATATGCACTTAAACAAGAAATAAGGTAATTAAAGTATATATATAAAAATATTTATAAAGCATAAGCATTAAATACTCTATAGAGCATTATTAAACAATGCATTGATACTTCGGCATTGATACAATGCATTGATTTTATTTTCAAATATAAGGACTTATAAGCACTTGTAAGGACCGCTACGAAACCTGTGTTATCCGAAACAGAACTTCATAATTATTTTCTTTCAGTTATTATGTATTAAATTACA